ATCAAAGATACAAGTAAGTGGAAAGATATTCATGTTCATGGATTGGAAAAATTAATATTGTTAAAATGTCCATAGTACCCAAAGCCATCTATGGGTTCAGTGCAGTCTCTATCAAGACTATGCATCGGGAAAGGATATTCTCTTCAATAATTGGTGTTAGAAAAACTGGGTAGTCATGCACAAAAGAATGAAATTGGACCCTTATTTTTCATTGATGAAAGTTAAGCTGCAAAAGGGGCACCTGGGTGGCTCAGTCGTTAAGCGTCTGCCTTCGGCTCAGGTCATGATCCCAGCGTCCTGGGATCGAGCCCCGCATCGGGCTCCCTGCTCCGTGGGAAGCCTGCTTCTCCCTCTCACACTCCCCCTGCTTGTGTTCCCTCTCTCACTGTCTCTCTCTGTCAAATAAATGAATAAAATCTTTTAAAAAAAATTAAGCTGCAATGGATTAATTATAATACCTGAAACTGTAAAACTACTAAATGAAAACAGGAAAAACTCCTTGACATTAGTCTTGGCCATAATTTTTTGAACGTGACACCAAAAGTACAAGCAACAAAAGCAAAAATAAAGAAGTGGAAGTACATCAAATTAAAAGGCTCTGGACTACAAAAGAAACCGTCAACAAAATGAGAAGGCAAACTACATAATGGAAGAAAATATTTGTAACTATCTGATAAGGGGTTAATATCCAATATACATAAGGAATCCATATAACTCAGTAGCAAAAACAAAGGAAAAGAGAAATGAAAAAGAAAAAAGAAATCTGATTTGAAAATGGGCATAGTACCTGAAAAGACATTTTTCCAAAGAAGACATACAAATGGCCAACAGGTACATGAAAAGATGCTCATCACTCATCATCAGGGAAATGCAAATCAAAACCACAATGAGATTTCACCTCCTACCTGTCAAACGGCTAGAAAAAAAAAGACAAGAAGTAACAAGTGTTTGCAAGGATGTGGGGAAAAGGGAACACTTGTGCACTGTGGTGGGAAGGTAAATTGATGCAGCCACTGTGAAAAGTAGTATGGAGTTTCCTCAGAAAATTAAAAAACTATCATACAATCCAGCAATTCCACTTGTGGGTATATATCCAAAGGAAACAAAATCACTATCTCAAGAGATATCTGCAACACCATGTTCATTACAGCATTATTCACAGTAGCCAAGACATGGAAACAACCTAAGTATCCATTGATAGATGAAGAAATTATACATACACATACATGCTCACATGCACACACACATATGCACATACAAAATGGAATATTCAGCCATTAAAAAAAGAAGGAAATCCTGCCTTTTGGGACAACATGGATGGACCTTGAGGGCTTTATGCTAAGTGAAATAAATCAGAGAAAGACAAATACTGTATATTTTTATCTTTATGTGGAATCTTAAAAAGCCAAACTCGTAGAAACAGAGAATAGAATGGTGGTTGCCAAGGGCTGGGGGATGGGAGGTGAAGCATAGAATTAGCAGAAGTTGGTCAAAGGGTACAAACTTCCAGATATAAGATGAATAAGTTCTAGGGTTTTAATGTACAGTATAGTGACTCTAGTTAACAATACTGTATTATACACTTGAAAGTTACTAGGAGAATAAATCTTAAGTGTTATCACCAGAATAAAAAGAAAATGGTAATTATGTGAGATGATGGGGTGTTAACTAATCTTATTGTGGTAATCATTTCACAATTATATGTGTATTAAATCATCACGTTGGGGCGCCTGGGTGGCTCAGTCGTTAAGCGTCTGCCTTCGGCTCAGGTCATGATCCCAGGGTCCTGAGATCGAGTCCCACATCGGGCTCCCTGCTCAGCGGGAGCCTGCTTCTCCCTCTCCCACTCCCCCTGCTTGTGTTCCTGCTTTCGCTGTCTCTCTGTCAAATAAATAAATAAAATCTTTAAAAAAAATAAATCATCACGTTTTACACTTTAAACTTACATAATGTATGACAATTATATCTCAATAAAGCTGGAAGAAATTCATGTAAACAAAAAATATATACATATATAATGATAAAGTCGTAATTATCCCATCTTTACCCGCAAAAATATATCTAATAGTGTTAGTAATTAAAGGATTATGATGTTGCCAGTACTTAAATAATGACATTCAGGCAAGTAGATTCAATTCAATGGAAGCCAGAGAGAAAAAAGAAGCTAACGTGTTACAGATAATGATTAAGAAATGAAGATAAGAGGGAAGGATATAGAAGGGGAAAAATCTAGGTGAATCCATATTTTATCACTCCCCCAAAATGTAGACAAACCGTGAGGAGGTTTTTAGTATAGCCTTAGGATGGTGATGAGTGCTTTGCCCAGTGGATGAAGACAAGGGTCCTAAATTTTCTTCTGAACCTGCTGGATGGTTAACTGAGAAGGAATAGGTGAGAAGCCCTTGGCTCGTATCAACTTTCCCCCTGTGTTCACAGACATCTCATTAAGAGATCAACTGAGATTGTAACTTTCAAAACATGGGACCAACCCCATAATAAGAACAGTTAGTTATTTTCTTCCTACTGTAAAAATCTTAAGAGTTTAGAGTTTGGCTTTTTTTTTTTTTAACATGTAGAACAGTTTCCTATCATTGAACTCAAATTATTTAACATAAAACCTAGGACTTTTTCTTGTTGTTGTTGCCATTAAGATCCTGCATCTGCATTCTAGCCAGAATTGCAAAACCACACTATAATTCTCTAAGTGATAGCAGTGAGATCAAAAGGACTTACCCTAGAATTAGCTTTAAAATAAACTATTGGGGATTCTGGGAAAGAAGGAGAGAATGTGTGTTTACTAAACTTCTCTTCCTGAAGTCCCATGAAATGAGTAAACTCTGTATTTTCCCTAAAAGGATATCTTTAGTAATTATAATCACAGATAAAAATAGTCAAGTCCAGATTTCTCTAAAACATATTTATTTTTTTCTTTGTTATTATGGTTTGGGAGAGAAGTTCTACCTGACTTTTCATTAAGTTTACTAAAAAAGAGCAACAACTATACTATCTGTTCAAATTGTTCTGCTTTTAAAAAGGGAGGGAAAAAAAATAAGCACAGGGTTTACTGTATTAATACTTTAGAATTATAATAACCATTGTTTAATAGTTATTCTGAAACCATTAAACCATTGTTTAATGTTTACATTCTGAAATGGACCCATGGAAGAAATAGCTCATCCATATAGCAAACTTAATTTTATATAGTTATAGGAAACAATTCTTTTTTTTTTTAAGATTTTATTTATTTATTTGACACACAGAGACAGCTAGAGAGGGAACACAAGCAGGGGGAGTGGGAGAGGGAGAAGCAGGCTTCCCGTTGAGCAGGGAGCCCGATGCGGGGCTCGATCCCAGGACCCTGGGATCATGACCTGAGCCAAAGGCAGATGCTTAACAACTGAGCCATCCAGGCATCCCAGGAAACAATTCTTTTAATAACCCTTTCATTCTCCCTATGATGTGAGAACTGGCTACACATTGATAATATATTACCTTCAAAAAGGAAAGGATTCAAAAACTGCAAAATAGACTGGCCTGAGAAACAAGAGACTCAGGCTGTGCTCCTGGGTTTACCACTGGTACTAGTCTGGCCTCAGTTGTAAGATGACAGATATTTTTAAAAGATTTTATTTATTTATTTAAAGGGAGAGTGTGCACAAGTTGGGGGGGAGGGACAGAGGGAGAAGCAGGTTCCCCCACTGAGCAGGGAGCCTGACGTGGGGCTCAATCCCAGGACCCTGAGACCAGGGCCCTGAGCCAAGGGCAGCCACCTAACCGACTGAGCCACCCAGGCGCCCTGGATGACAGATTTCTAAAAAGCTGTTTCTTATTTTCATGCAGTATGAAGAAATCTTACAAAGAGCCATAAAAAGAAGTCTCCAGAGTCCCAGGATGGCCATGATATCATGCTGAGACAGGTCTGGTGCTCCCTCGAGGATTGGAGATTATCACAGAAGAGGCCAGCCTTAGACCCAGCTCAGCCAGAAGCTTCCGAACGAAAGGAGGTAAAGGGGTTTCCTTGAATGTGGGGATCACTTGAGAATGCTCCCAAGGATCATGAGTGAAACCAGGTGGTCTGTGAGGTAAATCACCAAAGTTCCCGGGAGTTCTTGCAGGAAGAATGCTCCATCCGTGACTCTATTATAAACTTCTTTGGTCCCTGTGGACAGAAATAGACCAGTCAGGCCAAGCCATTTCAATCCTATATAACTGAATTCAAAACAAAAACATGACATTGTGGCTTTCCCAGGACAGAGAAGACAACTATCCACTCCATTTCTGCTTACTAAGACAGTTAATTACACTTTGTTATGGATCAAGGCTACACACACATTCACACCCACACACACACATACACACATACACATTCACACCCCTCCACAGATTGCACATACATGTATCTTCTTCCACTGGATCTTTGAATAATTAAAGGTAGTGATTAGGGCTACATGGCTTTGTTACTTCAGGAAGTATTATAATGGACTCCATTTTATTTTTGCAGAGATAGGCCTCTGGGTATGGTCTAGGTAAGAAGAAGGATATGGGGGAAAAGGCCTAACACTCTGCTCTATAAAATGTAAAGAGCTATTCATTGTAGACAGGAAAAATTCTTTGCAAGATATATTGGCAATGCAAAATTAACCTTTTGTTTTAATTTGTACAACAAAATAATTTTACAGTAATATTTCATGCCAGAAAAATTCTTTGCCAAAGAGGTGGTTTATTCATTAAACCCTCATGGCCAGAGAAAAGCTTATTGGATGCTAAGTCAAAGAGCAGGAGTTATTAATTTTTATTTTTTAAATTTTTTTTAAAGATTTTATTTGTTTATTTGACAGAGACACAGCAAGAGAGAGAACATAAGCAGGGGGAGTGGGAGAAGGAGAAGCAGGCTTCCCGCTGAGCAGGGAGCCCAATGCGGGGCTCGATCCCAGGGATCATGACCTGAGCGGAAGGCAGAGGCTTAACGACTGAGCCACCCAGGCGCCCCAGGAGTTATTAATTTTTAGATCTGTTTTTAATTGATATCCTGACATATTCAGCCAATGCCATGAGAGAAAATAAGCTCTTCTCATGCATAGATTTTTCAAAATCAGACATTAGTATTATCTATGTTTATTGCCCTATCTGTTGAATAGATCTAATGTCAGGTTAGGATGGTGGTCATAAATCAACATGTCACCCACCGTAAGTATCCACTTCTAGTTTGGTCCCTTTGAAAGGAGTCCCAGGTTTATAATTCTTAAAACTCTTAAAAGCATGGCTAGAGTAGGAGCATCAATTATGAAGGTAGTACTTACAGACAATTACAAGATTTAGAAAAAGAATGAGAAAAACTTTTCAAAGCTAAGTCCAGAAGGATCTTAATAATGCTGGGCTCACAAATCTAAACTAAAACTGGCTTTGAGTAGCTTGGTTGACATTTCTGCATGTCCTTAACACCTTGTATGTGATAGCACCTTACAAACTACAACATGCCTTATGCTACCTTAATGTCCTCCATCACCCAGACATATCCTACTGTTACAAGAGATCAATAATGATTATAAATTTGCCAGGAGGGGTATAAATATTTGCAATATTGTGGCTACTGGCAATAAAAGTTCAGATTGAATATGCCTGGGGATGTTCTGCAAGATTGACTTAACTTTGTCTCAGTTGTAGTATTTACTTCCTAACCTCCTTCTGACTTCTTCTTTTCCATCTGCATGTGTTCCAGAAGAAAGCCAAATGAAGGCATTATGCCTTAGAGCTTTCAAAGCAACAATAGAGAAGTCGTCAAAGAACTATTATTACCTTCTGTGCTGCCGACTCCCTCCGTGGTTTATAGCCAGCCCACACCTACCCAGACACGGGCACTGATCACTTGCCTCCATATTTCCAGCGCTCAGAGATCTGTTCTCAGCACAGGAAGTCCAACTGTAAAAAGTGGAAACATTGAATGTCTGAATTTTCTTTACAGCAGTTGTAATAATAATTAACATAGGTTTATATCACAACCATGTATTGAACTTATCTGAACTCGTTTTGTCATTCTAGCACCATACTGGAATTTATCAAAATTCAAAGAGCTTGTAAATGAAGCATGAGCAGTTATAATAACTTGAAATGTTGAAATAATTATTCAGGGTGATTTAGATTCTGTAAACATAGCTATCAAAAAGAAAAACAGCATTCTTGGCCCTCAAGGGTAAAAGATTCAGATAAAAATGTTTTCCTAATGAGCAGTATGCTTCAGCATAGTATTATTACAGGAAAGACCAAAATTCCAATCATCCTTGCTAAATTGCATGTCTGCTAACTTCAGCTATTTTGAGATTTTTTCAAGTTAAACCATTTCTGAGTTACAGAAGAAATATGCACAGTTCCCTTGTGCATGGAAACAGAATGTGATCTATTCATTCCATCTTATTCAAATTCTTTAGAAAATTAGGCAAGTCTGATGATTCATGACACAAACTTTTAAAATTATGTTCAATACAGCTTATTGCACTCATTGGGGTGATTGTGGAATAATCACTATCACTTTTGAGTACTGGCTTTTATGTACTACATTTATAATTCTCACAAAAAAACCCACAGTAAGAGTACTTTTATCTAATGTGTTAATAGTTTGCCTAAGAGCAACCACACAGAGACAGAACCAAGACTCAAACCATGTCTAACAACAAAGCCTGAGCTCTGTTCCTCAATCAATGACATTTAGATAAATTTTTTGGTAGAACCACTATATTTTATGCCATAACTTCAGTTATCATGCTGTCAATTAAGCATTGTGAAAACACTGAGATTCTATCTTTGTTTTATTTGGGGGGGAGGGGCAGTGGGAGGGGAAGAGAGAGAATCTCAAGTAGGCTCCACACCCATCATGGTGCCCCTGATACCGGGAAAGGGTACTAATTGGATATTAGGGGGAAAAATTCTCCCTTAAGAAGTTCCACCAGCCAGGATCTCCAGATTCTGTAGGGGTTTAATTCTCCTGCCCATGGTTTACTCTTCAGCTGGGTTCTAGAATCACCCTACTCAAAGCGGAGTCCTCAGACCAGCAGCTTGGGGTGCCTGTTAGAAATGCATAATCTCAAGCCCTATATCTATAATGGCTGAATTAGGATCTACATTTTGGCAAGATCTGGCATCTCCAGTCCTCATTCAAGTTTGAAATGCTCTGTTAGATGACATACCTTATCCCACCCCCAATTAGATCCCTCAATCATCCCATTTCTTACCTGTGTTCTCAACTTCTCTCTGCTATTTTTTGTTTAGTATTGTTTACCCTCACATAGAAATACTCTTTAAAAGTCCTCTGCTGGGTGCCTAGGTGGCTCAGTCAGTTGGGCATCTGTCTTCAGCTCAGGTCATGATCCCAGGGTCCGGGGATCAAGTTCTGCGTGGGGGTGGGGGGGAGGACCCTGCTCAGCAGGGAGCCTGCTTCTCCCTCTACCCCTCCCCTCTGCTTGTGTGTTCTCTTTCTCTCTCAAGTAAATAAATAAAATCTTTTTAAAAAATTTTTTAAATAAAAAAATTTAAAAAATGTAAGTCCACTGCTGATCCTGCCTCCACGTACCTGAGACATTTCTCTTTTCTCAACCATGCGCCTTGAAGGAGGTGTTTGTACTCCTTGAATCTATATCTCCACCTCCTGTTTGTGTCTCAACCCACTGCAATATAGTTTACACATCAAATACCATCTGGCCCTCTACTATATGCCCAACATTGTGCCAGACTCTGAGGATAACCTGGTGTGCAAGAGACATGGTCTTCAAATGACTGTCTCTGAAATTGTTTTGACATGGATAACCAGCTGACTCTCTAAATTACCAACTCCACTTTTCATTCATTATCAGATAGGAGGATTCAGCTGTCTTCCATAAGTCAGAGATTAAAAAGATTTTGCAAAAATGTAAAATACTGACTGCTATTCTAACTTTTTAAAGAGAATAGTTATTTTTATAATAATTGTTCTTCATGTTAACAAATGATGGGTTTATTTTTATTTTAAAATGAATTAATATTCTGAAAATGTGTCTTAATATCTAGTATTTGTAGGTCAACAGATAACATCCCTATAAAAGTTCTCTCTCTCTGGGCCCCTCAATAATTTTTAAGAATGTGAAGGGGCTTCTGAGACTGAAAAGTTTGAGAGCAACTAGATCCCATTTTGAAACCAGCTTAGTTGCTCAACAAATTGCTAAAATCTACATAGCTATCAACTATACAATTAATATCAGAGGGACATGAATAAATTGGCCTAAGCATTTTCTATCCTATGTTTTATTAATTTGGCTAAAGACGTCACTTTCTCTAGGCATTTCATGCACAATAAGAAAACAATAGTTGACTACTATGCCTGAAAAACTAAAAGCTTTCACAGGAATATTTTTAGTATCTGAGATGATATACGCTCTTGTCTCCTGAAAATGGAAAACAAGGTAAAAATTAGAACAGTAAGGTGAACAGTTGGCTTTAAACATTCCTTCTGTCTTTCTTTTGCCCACAAGGAATATTTTCTAAAGTTCTTAAAATCAATACCATTATGCTCTTATCTTGAATACTTCATGTGTACCTGATTATCAAGCCATACCAGACTATGGCTTTAAAAGTAATTCTATTTATCACACTAAATGAAGAAATATTTAAGGCATTTGCATTTTGTTTATAAAAGAAATCAACTTCTCAGAAGAATGCATCTTTTAAATTATACCCAAACCATGAAATATGCTTTGGTCTCCATAAAAATATGAACAATGTAACATTCCCATTAACTGTGTACACTATTATCAAATGTGTATAGTTCTTTAGTAGTGATGAAGGACAGGATGAACTTCTGGTTCCAAATACTTCACACTGGAGGCGGAATAAAGAAAAATAACTTTCTACTGCTTAGCCCTAAAAGAAAATGCAAATGAAACCTGTTGTCATCTTCTACTACAGTAATTAAACTCTCAGTATGCAGCACAACTTTTCAGCAAACAGGTTTTAGGACATTTTTAAATGGTCTAATTTACAACCTTTGCATGCGTTGCAAGTCTTTCATGTTTAGGATACAAATAAAGCCTCAAGCAATTTTTCATCTTGTTCTTACAGAACATGTGCAGGACAGAGACTTTATCCTTTAGCTCTAGAAGGATACACTACTGAACATAACTGTTATTTAAATACCAACTATGTTCACATGTTGTTAAAGGGCACATTTTGAATCAACTAAAATGTGTCATTCACATTATTTGAGATTTATTCTTGACCACATGGATTTTTATTCTAAATAATTCAATTTATACTCATAGCTGTCTTATAGATTAGAAAGGCTTTATTATATATTTCTAAGCCTTTTAAAGATTTTATTTATTTTAGAGATAGAGCAGGGGGAGGGGCAGAGGGAAAGGGAGAGAGAGAACCTGGAGCAGACTGCTGAGTGTGGGGTCCAACACGAAGCTCGATCTCATGACCCTTAGATCGTGACCTGAGCTGAAATCAAGAGTCAGACACTTAACCCACTGAGCTACCCAGGCCCCCTAAGCCTTTTAAATAATTGATTTTGCAAAATAGCTGTTAGTATAGGTCATGTATATTTAATGCCTCTAAACCAAGGATTCCCAACCAGCCCAACAATTAGGCAATAAGGTAATGCTCGTACTATATAGCCTTTATTGTCTACATAACTTCCCATTTATTATCTAGGTGTGGACTACGGATAATGTCATACTGGGGACACTCACCTATAATGTAGGTGGAAGCAACAGACAGGTTCAGAACCACTATCTTAAAGAAGTCCGGAGAAAGACTTAGAATAACTTTTATTTAAAGGCAAAACAAGTAAAAATATACAGGAAACTAAGGCATGGGGATTGGTCTGATCGGCTGGCACCATTGGCACCAAGACAATCAGTGTTCTTCATTACACTGAATCATCTACATCACAACAGTTTATGCAGGCCACACTCTGAAATCAAAAGAAGCAAAAGAAATGACAAAACTTACTTTTGGTTTTCTGAAAACTCAGTATGTTCCACACTTGGTTTTTAGTAGTAATTTTGTTGAGAGTACAAGGAACCTCATCTTAAGATCTTACCAGAGAATCTTAATAAAGACACTATTAAACTTTATACATGTGTGTACAAATCCTTCTAAATTAGCTAAAAACCTTCTGCAATGATTACATACTTTTCAAAGTGGTTTTACTTTAATTGCATATTAAAGTAAAGGATTTAAATAATCCACAGAGAATTTAGACCAAAGTTATTTGCCTATTCAAGGTACAAATGTGTGAACATATGTGTGCACATATATATACATGCATATACATATCTATATATTTGTTAGTTCCCAGATAATGATATATACACAAAAATATAAACATATGTACAAATATATATGTGTATGCATACACATATATACATATATGTAAGCTCTCTCTAAAAGAAATTTCTACAGACAGAAAAATGTTTTAAAAGTGATGAAAATATTACTTTTTGCAATTTTCTCACAAGCACCAATATAAGAATCATAAGCCTACAGATGCTACTTTGAAAGATATTATGGTAGACGGATAATAGCTGAAAATCTCTTAAACTATATTATTTTCAAAATGAAATAAGCAGGTTATGTGTTATACACAACCCAATTACAAAGCTTACCTAATAAGCACTGTACACAAATCTAAGATGGAATGAAACGAAATTTAAATGAGGTTTAAATAATTTTTATACGGTATTAAAAATGGTTTTCATTTAAGACATATTAAAATTTGATTCACCCCAGAATACAGATAACTTCTGTTTTAGTCACAAATGAACATGGAAAATATTAGAGGTTAAATATGGATATCATAAATTCTATTCCAATACTTCAAAGCAAACCATTATGCCCACTGAAAGGTGATGTTTAGTCAATTCCCAAAAGTCCAAGTAAAAACATTTAAAGTTTCAGTTCCATTTAGTTCTATTTCCCCCAAATATATTAGTCATTAACAAGTTCCAGAAATTACCCATGACTTGACCACCCTTAGTGTCTCTCTACAAGTTTCTATACAAAATTAACGATCAATTTCTTCTACAAGTGCTAAATTTTAAGAAAGTTACTAAACAAAGTATTATAGTTAATACAGTAGTAGGACTAAAATCCTAGACATAAACCTAAGAGAAAATTTTCAAATTTTGAGTTTCACAAGGAACTAGCATCCTAATGTGTGCAAAAGAATGCCAGTCCTAAATGTCTAGAAAATTACATTCATAATACAGATTTTTTTTAAAAAAAGCTCTGAGTTCTGCAATTGCCCCCACCCAATATAACTATTTTTTTTAATTAACTTTAACCCAATGTTTTCAACAGATACGGAACTTCAAACCCTTCTTGCTCATTAAGTCTGAAAAATTAGTATGCATCACAGCAAACTCTGAGAAATAATGTAAACTTTTGGTAATAAATGCTAGGAGAAATTCAGCAAGGCAACAGGCAGAGAGCTGTTTAGGAAGACTTAAAATTTTAAGATAATATACAAAGTAGATGGGAGTTCAAAATGCAAATAAATGATGGAACAAAAGAGTAGAGCACTTGGTTGTTACTGGTAGGACAGAAGCACCATCCCCATACACTATCAGTTGTTTCAGATGATTTCTTCATCCCTATTGCCATCACTTCATTCAGGCACTCTTCAGCATAGGGAGTTTAAAGGTCTTCCAAAGTGATCCTCCTCATTATAGTCTATTTTTTTCTAATCCAGTGCTTCCCAAACTTAATATGCATATTCATTACCCAGGGATCTTGTCGAAAACCCAAGTTCTGATTTGGTAGGTCTAGGGTGGGGTCTGAAATAATTATTTTGTACCAAGTTCCTAGGTAATGCTGATGTAACACTTTGAGTAACATAGATCTAATCCATTCTGTAAGTCACTGCCCCATTACTCTTTCTAAAATACCACTTATCTCAGGTCACTGCCTCAGGAATCTAGGTTACCTCAGTGAATCAGGTATACACATTTACATTCAGTGATTGTTCCAGAACTTCATTCCAGACCAATTTGGTCTTTCTCCTAACTGCTATACTCATTCCAACCCAACTCTGTATTTTTTCTTTTTTTGAGGTAAAATATATATACAGTGAAGTACAGATTTTAAATGAACAAGTCAATGAGTTTTGATAATTGCATACACCTGTGTAACCAATACTCTCCCCGCCCCAAAATACAGGGCATTGCCATCACACTAACCCTGTGTTTTGACCCAGCTCTATACTCTTCCACCTTTTCTCTGCCTTCCACCTATCCTGTAAGACGCAGCTGAAGCCCTCCCTTCTTCAAAACACACATCAAATTCACACACATAGCTCGTCTAAATTACCACTTCTTTTAAGATTGAGCCATCACCATCTCTCAATGACCTCCTCACAAATCTCTCTGCCTCCATTCTTACCCGCTCCCTAATATATTATCCACAGAGGAGTCAAGATGATCTTCTAAGATTGTAAGTCAAATCAGGTCACTCTCCTGCTTAAAACCTTCCATGGCTTACCATCACACTTGCAATAAATCCAAATGCCTTTTTCTGTTCTGTATCACTCAGCCCCTCCTCCTCTAACCTCATCTCTTGCCACCTTCCCCTTCACTTTCTATGCTCTGGTCCTAGAAGCCTTCTTTCTGGCCTGATAATCCAGTGAGATTTTCCCACTTGAGGGACTCTGCATTCATTATTCCCTTTACTCTTCTCTACCACCTTTCTCTGATTGGCTGGGTTTTTTTGCTATTCAGATCTCAACTTCACAGCTACTTCCTCGTAGGAGCCGTTCCTGACTACAGAATCTAAAGTATCCACTCAGTCACTCTCTCACCCAAATCTGACTTTGCCTAGCATCTAGCATTGGTGTGTATCTTACTGATGTGTTCTTCATATCTTCCCACAAGAACATAGGCTCCACGACTGTGGAACCTGTGGACAGCGTTCACTGCTGCAACTCCTGCCCCTAGATCCGCATCCAGCTCATGACAAGTCGATGCTCCACAACTGCTTGTTAAGGAAATATGTCAAAATATGTGATATATATTTATACTATGCAGATGGAAACTGTACCTGTACCCAAGACAAAATCTCCCATGAAATTTAAAAGAGAGTAAGAAAGTTATCGCTAGTCCTCAGACAAGGTAAGTCGTTCACAAGAAAGAAAGGGGAGAAAAGAAGGACAGCTTTAATGTGCAACAGAAACAAAACACAGATTAAGTCAAAGTTTAATTCACATAAAGTTTAATCAGTCAAGTTAATGAAAATATCAAAATTTTTGAGTTAGTGTATGGCAGCAGAAATTTAATTTTTGTTGCAGATAATACAGTATTGGGTGTTTCCATCACTGACCAGCTATGCTGCAGATAGAGCAATGGCGTTGAATCTCAATTCCTCAGGGTCACGTTCCATAAACTTCTTGCAAACTTCTATGGCATCCTATGGGGAAAAAATGTGTAGTTTTTCACTTTATAAACATGTGTTTTCCTTTCAAATGATAAATAAGTGTTTCACATTTTCCTAATTCATACTAACCTTACATCAGACTTCTTTTTCCAAATGCAAAATAATTTAAAGCACACACCAGAAGAGTGAATGGTTGGTAGCCTAATTTGCTTAGTACAAAACTGTAAGATATAGTAAGTGTTCTTTCTTAAAGTACTTTAAAGAAACCTTTAACTTGAAAATTACTATTTCTTAGCCACATAATTTGTTCATAAATCTAAAAGTCTCTAAAATCAGGATCAAGATACAAACGATGGTATCTTGGATTCAGTGAAATATGAGATAAGATGTGCAACTCTTTCAATACTATTACCTTTTTCAAATTTGATACTTGTTCACACAACGAGCTCTGAAAATCTCTTCATTTGCTGTAGATTTTTAACACTAACTCAGAATTTTCTTTTTGGATTTTCTCAAGAGTGTAAGGATCCAAATTCAGAGAAAATGTTATTTAAGAGATCTTTAGAGATATTTTAAAGATAACAAGAACATTAGTAACACTTAAAGTAGGCCAACAAGTTTTGTTGTTACCTCTAATAAAGTTTCATCGCTAGTTTCCCCATGGTTAATTGGAAACGGTTTCCGTCCATCTGTGGAAAGTGAACAAAGAGCTGTAACATTTAGCTGCTTATAATGTACTTCCAACTTCCATTTTCCTCTTCCCACAGTGAGGCGAAAGTTCAAAGATACTGAAAATAATATATCCTAAAACAAATATTTTAAATGTGCTACCTATCAGTATTTTTTACATTATATGTTATTAGAACCTTGCTTCCATGTTTGAAAGCCTAAATTATCTTCATAAACAGAATTTATAAGAAATAAACATTGGCTTTAATTTCCTTAAAAAATGAAAAATTCCTAAGTCAGTTTTTAAAAAGCTACAACCCTAGTTTCTACCCTCAGGAATATGAAATATTTATTTCAAATCAGAAGGTTCCTAAGACTGACATGCTTATACCAATGAAAGGGAGCCACCACAAGATTTATATATTACTTCTACTAATTGTGTAGCAGCAAGGCAGTAAGTGGTCTATACCAACAATCTAAATAATCTAGGGTTATTTCACTGACCACCAATGTTAATTAAACACAATTATAAACATCTTGAATAAACTACTACTTTATGAATGCTATGAAAAAAGGAAAAAGTCCAGTATTATATAAACTCATCCTAACCCAAGTTAACTGATACTCTATATCCAAATCTAAATCTCTTATGTCTTTTAAGTGGCACTTCATGGGGCGCCTGGGTGGTTCAGTAGGTTAAGTGTCTGCCTTTGGTTCAGGTCCTGATCCCAGGTCCTGCGATTGAGCCCTGCATTGGGGTCCCTGATCAGTGGGGAGTCTGCTTCTCCCTCTCCCCAACCTGCTCGTGTTCTCTCTTGCTCTCTCTCTAATAAATTCTTTTAAAAGAAAAAATGTGGCACTTCAAGTTCAATCCATAAAACACAATCCCGGGCGCCTGGGTGGCTCAGTTGGTTAAGCGACTGCCTTCGGCTCAGGTCATGATCCCAGGGTCCTGGGATCGAGTCCCACATTGGGCTCTCGGCTCAGCGGGGAGCCTGCTTCTCCCTCTGACCCTCTCCCCTCTCATGCTGTTTCTCTCTCGCTCGCTCCCAAATAAATAAATAAAATCTTAAAAAAAAAAAAAAAAACACAATCCCTTCTATAATTCCATGGCTTCCAAATGTAATAAAAATGTCTGAATCCATATACAAACACAGTGATAGAGCTGGGCTGGTAGATACCACGGTGAAAGAAAAATATGAGGGAAGATTAACCAAACAAACCAAAAGGCAAAATGAGACAATTATTAAAACTGGAGAAATAAAAATGTATTTATTTTTATTTATTTATTTGAGAGAATGAGAACAAGAGAGATCACCGAGGGAAAGGAAGAAGGATAAGCAGACTCGCTGCTGAGTGGGGAGCCCGATGCGGGGCTCAATCCCAGGGCCCTGAGATCATGACCTGAATCAGACGTTCAACCAACTGAGCCACCCAGGCACCCCAAGTTTTTTAAAAAGTACATTAATTATGGCTCAGCTGAGAATAAATATTTCCGTGGTCATAGTAATATAACTACAACAGAACCAGGAGAAAGGAAATAATCTATTTCATGACTGGGAGGGTGGGCGAGGAACAAGAGTGACCAGGAAAGCTAAATTCTGATCTTCCTTGTGGGAAGTGAAGAAATAATACTGAGGCTACTTCCACCTCCAGCCAGGTTGGAATAACTGGTACTGGATGAGGCCTTCCACTGGAAACAACGAAAAAGCTGGAGGAAATAGCTGAAACAGTGTTCTTAGACATCAGGAAATAGGTAGCTTTTATGTGAGCTCAACAGTGATCGCTTTCTGCCAGTTCATGAATTGGAAACCCACGCAGAGCACAACAGTCTTAATGAGGAGACTGAGGAGAAAGAGAGCGGGGTTCAGGAATTTGCACAATATCAGAAAGAAGGTGGGTCCCCACTTTGCAGAGTTGTTGCTCTGTCTGGGCCTGGCCAGGCAAGGATCAGTTGGGGGCAAGTCGGGGGGAGGTGCAGGGAGCATTGTGTTTGGGTCTGAGTTTTAGGCTGGGGTGGCTAAGAGCTTGTTTATATACAAGAGGAATGGATAAGTCAAGAAATACATGAAGGGTAATGGAGAACACTAGAATAAACTATATACTATTAGATTTAGAAGTGTTAATGGAAGGGCGCCTGGGTGGCTCAGTTGGTTAAGCGACTGTCTTCGGCTCAGGTCATGATCCTGGAGTCCCGGGATCGAGTCCCGCGTCGGGCTCCCTGCTCAGCAGGGAGTCTGCTTCTCCCTCTGACCCTCCTCCCTCTCATGCTCTCTGTCTCTCATTGTCTCTCTCGCAAATAAATAAAATCTTAAAAAAAAAGAAGTGTTAATGGAAATGAATGCTTTTTAAAAAAAATTTTATTGTTATGTTAATCACCATACATTACAGCATTAGTTTTTGATGTAGTGTTCCATGATTCATTGTTTGCATATAACACCCAGTGCTCCATGCAATACATGCCCTCTTTAATACCCATCACCAGGCTAACCCATCCTCCCACCCCCTCCCCTCTAGAATGCTTTTAAATATATAAACAGATATAATTGTGGGTGTGTCTATACTCATATTCACATATATGTATGTGAGTGTATTTTCTAATACATACAAACATTTCCTACCTTTGTCCTCTGAAAGGGCCTAGAAGCAATGATATCTTAGTAGCAATGAGCATACCTACCACCGAGATATTGGTTCTAAATATCATTTTCCACTAAAAGGAACCAGGGCTCAATGGAGAAGCAACTGAATAACAGGGCCAGGGCACATAAAATCAAAGATGAGTCTAGTCTTATTCTACCTGACAGTGAGAAAGTGCTTGAAGAATGAGAGAAACATATCAAAAAGACAAAAGGGCAAGCTTGAGGGGGTTCCCTTCAAGGCCAATTTGGGGAAAGTTTAAGCATCAAAATAAATTATGATAATCAACTGTATGTAACCTTTTGAGTGAAATATGAATCCATGAGTCCATTCTGACATTAATGAATGAATAAGGGAAAAAGGAAATGGTGGAGGAATTTTTTTTTTTAAAGCACCATTTGGCAACCATCATAGTGATAATCAATTAAAAATCATTAATGGATGCTAAATCTGATAAAGGCTTAATGAGAAACTACATTTACATAAGCTCAAAGTATCTCCTGATAAAATATTTATTCATTACTTACTAATTAATAACTATAACATATTAACATATTAACAAGTTTAAAAAACTTGTTAACTTTATAATGGAGAAATGCAGATACCACCTAGACCAAATGATAAAGGTCATCATCACCAGTGATGGGACAAATCAACATCATGAGCCTCCTGAAATGATGTGCTGAGAACATAGCACCACTTCTGTGGTGTATGTGCCAAAAATGGATAAATCATGAGGAAATATCAGACAACCCAAATTGAAAAATAATCTCAAAGTAACTGCTCTGTACACTTAAAAATAAATGTCAAAGACACGAGAGAAAAGAAAAGATTGAGGAACCATTCCAGATTAAAGGAGACAAATGTGACAACTAAATACAACACACAATCCTGGATTGGATTCCAAACCTATAGAGGACATTGTAAAAATCAGAATAATTTGAATAGAGTCTGTGAATTCAATTGTAATATGGATCGATGTTAATTCCCTGATTTTGACAGTCATACTACAGTTATGAAAGACAGTATCCACCTGTTTTGAAGAAATACATACAGAAATATTAAAGAATAATGGGGCATTGTGTCTGCAACTTATTTTCAAATGGTTCAAACATATTAACTGAATCTGGGGAATCTGAGTAAAGGGTTTATGGGAACTCTGTATACAATTTCTATAATTTTTATAAAAATTTAAAATTATTTCAAAATAAAAATTTTTTAATGTTTCAGAGTATTCCTGTTACTCCAGGTAGACAATAAATTGTTAGTTATCAGTTTTCTAATCTGATGATTCAATCAGTTCTGAATTCACTTCCAAACCCATTGTTCTAATTTATCCATAAAGGGTAATTTTATCTATTTAAAAATGCCATTCTCCCCTCCTACATATGCCATTAATGACATGAAGCCCTAAGGAAAAGGAAGAGGTGACAACCAAAAGATGAATAACTCAGTTCCTTTTATCAGTTAACCTTACAATTTAGTATGGAATAAATATATTAAAGATAACCACTATCCTTTGTGGAATAATTGTCCTGTAGTAATTAACTTGCACATGTCTACAATCATATAGCCTTATCTTTAAACAAATAAGGTCACTTGAAAATGATTTTTTTTTTCTTAAAAACCTATGCTGTTCTCTTAATCACTGTTTTCTTTTTGTGTGTGTGTGTGTTCCTTCAAAATTTATTTACCTCTCATCATGACTGAGTTTAGAGGTAATGGACAGAGGTGAATGTACTTTAAAGGCCAAAGCTCTCAGATGGGTAGAGAGCATGTTTCAAGAATCTGGGAACACTGCAGGGCAAGAGAAATATATGATCAAGCCCCTGAAGATTATTATTTCATTACATAGGTGATTCTATATTGCCAAATCACAAATAACTATACATAATATATGTTCTCTGTATTAGCAAGTATTGTGTGTGTGTGTTTTAATAACCGCTAGCATTTTCTATCACAAATATTTTTTTATTATGTTATGTTAATCACCATACATTATATATAATCACTGTTTTCTATTCACTAACTCAATAGTTCTTGCTCAATATTCCTTTAGAATTTATTAGGAATCCGGGGTGCCTGGGTGGCTTAGTAGTTAGGCATCTGCCTTTGGCTCAGGTCATGATCCCAGGGTCCTGGTATCCAGCCCCGCATCCGGCTCCCTGCTCAGTGGGAAGCCTGCTTCTCCCTCTCCCCCTGCTTGTGTTCCCTCTCTCACTGTGTCTCTGTCAAATAAATAAAATCTTTAAAAAAAAAAGAACGCTGAAGTGATCTATAGTAGTTTCCTATGATTTTTACTTCTCTGCTTTGCTTGAAATACAAAGGTGATACGCACACTTCTTTGAATTATAACTTGCTTAAACAATCAAAAAAATTATTTTTTTCTAGTAAAAAATCTTAAATGGAAAACTTTCATTATGCCTACTCAATGTTAAAGGGCAATTAATATTAAACACAATAAATGCCAACAGCCCTGTTAATATAGAGACTTTCCCATTTATCATTTACCTCCCCAGAGTAAATTTAAATAGTTCTTACCTAATTCATAGAGATGCCCATCTACATGAACTAATGCAATAAAATGAAGATCTACTTTTTCATCTATACTTGGTGCCTGAAATAGGAGGGAAAAATACATATTATGCATGTTAGTAGTCAAATCAATCAAGTACATGTAAACACATACAAATATGAAATGACATGAGAGAACATTTATCCAATATAATTCAAGGTTTATTAATCTTTGATATGGTAGACAAAGAATGAACATGACCACATTTATGACAATGTCCTCACCCATTAACCAGGAAAACATCAGCTAAAAGCCTATCTTTTTTAATCTCAACTGATCTAAACACCTTTAATATCGTTGAAACTTGGAAGCCCTGGTGCCTAGCATAACACCTGGTACCTAGTAGATACATAATGCATACTTGCTGAATGAAATGAATGCATGAACTCATTTGTCTAATTTTTGATATTTGAAATAAGAAAGGTTAAAAAAATTTATAACATAAACAGTTAAAGAAACTCTTTTCAAGCTGAATTTTAAGACACCAAGAAAGTGAATTCTTTCCTTAATGATTTGAACTTGATAATCTTTTTTGAACAATGTAATATGTCTTAGAATAAAATAAGTCTCATTATTCATCATAGATTCAAAAAGTTTAAAAATGAATAAATGCAGGAAACCAGCCCAAAAGAGTAAAAGGGGAGGGAAGATAAATGCAAATTAAAGTGCAATTAACTGTAACCTATGATATTTTGGCTGCTTTCTTAGTGAACTACTTGAAATTAAAATTAAATTACACCTAGTTTTTTTTGTTGTTTTTTTTTTTTAGTTTACCAAATTCTATCTGCATTAAACAATATCTGCTACATTTCTTAGAAATGTAAATAAGTTACCCAAAATCAATACATGATTAAATGGTACTGTCTATGACACACAGTAAGCTGCACAGTTAACACTAATGTATATTAGCTATATCTCAAATCTTAAATGGTTTGAAATAAAATACAATCACTATTAAACGCAAGTGCAAATTTTAGAGGCAAACATTTTAAAGAGGCATAAGTCAAATCACATTTCATATTAACATCCTATAACATAATAGTGTCTGAAATGTAAAGTTCATACTTTTTTCACCTTCAGATAATTTTATAATTTTAAGTAGTTTTTTTAAGTAGTTTTAAGAAGTTTTCAGAAGGAAAAAATTGAAAGCAACAGAATAAACATTACTATTTTGGATTTACTGAATGTTTCTAAAACATGTACAGATAGAGTGACTCATCTAATCTCACATTATTCTTCAGAGATTATTTCCCTCCAATTATGAATGGGAGAATCTCAACATAACATTAATGTGACAAACTAGCTCTCCCTAACTTCAATTTAGAATGAAAGAATTCCACTGTTGGTAGGAAACAAAATGATCTACTTCTGCTGCTCCAGTAGTAGACTCCTCCCCCATGCAGCCCCATCTGCAGTGGCCCCTAGGAGAACGGGGGACTGGCACTAGGTTCGGAGGCAGTCCGTTCTGTCTTTGGACAGTTTTGCTGCAGTTATCCTTCATACCGAGACTAATATATGTCTCCCGGTATTTTCCATTATCTTAGAAAAAGCCTAATCCCTCTTGAACAGGATACTTCTTCAAATATTTAAAGATAGTGATAATGAATTTCCTTACTTTCCTGGTCAGAGAATCAAAAAATATTAGTGATCACTCAAATCCAATATCGTTTTACTAATGACCAGAAGAGAATCCAATTTTTCAAGGCTAAACCTAGGCAATTCTACAAATTATAAATTCAGTTCTATAACAAAAAAATACTAGAAATGATTTTTTACCCAACTAGAAAAGAGTTTTGTTTTACTCATTTTAAGACAATTCTCCAACAGGAAATCAAGTATTTTAATTTTTTTGAGCTATTGCATTTTAAAAAATTATAAACGATTTTAACACCATCTCTTCTTAAGAAGAATACATCTTATAGCTTCTATTTTTCATATTTTGTCAGTAAATACAACCATGCTAGAGGAGAAAGGAGTACAAGTGAGGGTCAGAGACCTGAATATATACCCGATCCCTGTGTACACTGGGTTTCTTATCTGTTTTAAAGTTTAAATGAAATGCATGAAAATATTTTGTAAATTGTTAAGTGCTATAAAAGCATTATGTAACGTCACAATATTAATACTACATTATCACAAATATAAGAAATCAGTAATGTTAGTGACTCATAATGGTGAGTCATTATACCTTTTATCCAAAAGTGCATACTAAAAATATAAAACTCTAAAGAGGGCATGAAAAGCCTTCAAACTTTATTATAAAAGGTAAGTAAAGCTAAAAACTTCTAAGCCTTCCACAGAACCTTGGTACCTACTGGGAGCCTTTCCCTTTGATCAACTTCATTAGTCTGAGAGTGTGAAATCTGCAATTATCTAACTGCTTAAAAATTGTTCCACTAAAAACAAGAACAATACATAAAAGGCAAAGTCTTCAATTTCAAAACATGACCAAGAAGGCAGAAACCAGAAGCTATAGACTGGATCATGTTGACTACATTTATTTTTATGTATTATTTTTTATTAAGTTCCCTAATTTATAATACAACACTTATTATTATCTCAAACAGTTAAAAATAATGTAACAAATCAATGAGAGAAATTAATTAAATACTAAATATAAATTTCAAATTGTTGAAAATGACAGTTTAAATTTAATTTCTACTAATATGGCACTTAATATATGCCAGGCACTGGCACTGTTTTAAGTACCTTAAATGTACTGACCAATTAATTGTTACATAAACTCTATGAGATAGGTAATATACTCATTTATTCTCAAGAAAACTGTTCAACAGTTAGTAAGTGATGGAATCTGGTTTCAAACTCAGGTGGGGTAGTTTTAGAATCCATGCTATGCTACGAAAATACTTATGAAGCTATAAAGCAACAAAATTAATATGGAGAGCAAAGATCAAAATTATGTAAAATCATATAAAACTGGAAACACCAATTTTATGGTATGTTCACTTTTATTTAGAATATTTTAAAAGTACAAAGGAATCAGTCATATTTAGAGTCAATTGTACCCAAGTTAGTATTTACAAATTAGGGTTTTACTCTGATCATATAATTCACCTTATGTCTCCTACTATGCCAAACAGTGTATGGCACAGTAGGGAAGCAACAAATATTAAATCGACAAATGAATAAAAATGGCAAATGCATGTTGTGATCCAATGGGGAAAATGAAATAGACAGCAGTTTATTGATTGATATTCAGCATAAATGAAAGGCTATTTTGATGACCATTCTGACATTTGGTGAAAACAGATATTTAAGGAAACATGTCAAGACTCTACTTCACAGTTTGAGGCTAGCTCTGGAAGAGTAAATAAGGGGAAAGAAAGAATGTTTGACACCAACTTTTAATTTTTTTATCATTAAATATGTAAGGAATCAGACTTCCTCTGGCTTCAAAAGTTATGATGATTTCCAGAAGCATCAAGTTTCTTATAAATGGATAGCACACACCAAATCTTTCAAATATAGCATTTCTAAGTAGGCTCTGCCAAACCACAGTCATTGCTATTAACAGTCTAAAATATCAGAAAGAAAAGAGCTGGAGTTGCCTAACCCTATAGTTTATTTCAATCATGAGAATTATTAGAATTCCATCATCAGTCTCAACATTTAAGATAATTAGCAAGATTATAAGAACAAATGTACTTTTTAATAGTTTGTTAATATTATCAACCTAAGAAGGAGAAATCATAAAATTTATGGGAAGCAATTCATAAGGAGAAAATCTTCACCTCCTACTTGGAAAAGATCTTTAGAAACTGAATAGGCAGGGAAGATTGGATCAAGATTAAACCAAGTACCTGAGACACCTCAGGGAATAAAATAGCTTAGATGAAACACCCTACACCATGAAGGATTAGGTTAAGGAAAGAGTAAGTAAAGTGACCCCGGAGTATGACAAGAGACTACAGTCATGTTCAGAAACATGAAAAAAATAAAGAGATGGCAAAGAACTCAGAAGGTACACAGCATTGGCTGACCTGGGTCAACTAAATGAAATCAGAGAAATGAAGGTTAAGAGAATACATATTTACTTTAACAACAGACAGGAACTTAAACATTATCATGAATGTCGATCAGTACTCATCAAAAGGCAGGCATCCTTATGCTGGTGGGATATGGAGTGGGAAGATGAATGTTCACCAAGGCACTGGTGAAAGTCAAGCTAGACTGCAAAGCATAAAGGTATGCTTGCAATCTTATTGGGGGAGAAAAAGCTAATGGTTGAGTGAACCAAGAGAAAAGCACTTTGAAGACTGAAGAAGTGTAAGGGAAAAAATGGACTATCCTTGTCACTGGAAGAAGAGATGGAAGATTGACTACACTTACAACAGAATGGAGACCCATAGATGGTAGGCGTAAGAAGGGTCGCCAGCGACGAAGACGGAGAGATGGACTGGTAGCCTTTGCAGGGCCTACATGGTTACGTTTGACCCAGGGCAGGGATGCATGGTGACACAATGATGAGGCCTTCGTTCTGCAGTGGCTAGAATGAGGCTGTGATGAGGATGACGAGGAGGACTACATAATTAAAAAAGAGAACATTTTACTTAGACCACGTTACTGGGCGATCATTTATTCTTAAAAGCAACGTATGGTCATACTTGTATTTATATGGTCTAGTACTTTTAATCAACCATAATCTAGAAAAGGATCATATGTGAATGTTGGTTAAAACTGGATAAAGTGGAAATATATAACTAAGGTATAAGGTTATATGCCATAGCTTCTGTAAGTACACATCTAAAATATTTACCTATTCTCATTTGTGTAGCACAGACTCGTGGAATTATTTAAAAGCCACTAAAATGGAATTATCACATCAAATCGTTTAACAAACAGGAACACACACACACAGAACACACAACATGTAACACATACAAAACACAAAGAATAATGTGTAGAAAAAAACAAGATGGTGATAGGCACTGTGAAAAGAATTCTTTAGTGAGAATAAGCTCTAAGTGGGGGGGTGGGACTTTGAAATATAAAGAGGAGTAAAGCAAAATCCTCCAAAGCTGATGACCTGCATAAAGTATCCTCTTACTTAGGCTGACAAGTTAAATGGAAACTATCATAGCCTATTAGCCATCTTTTACTAATCAATAGTGTTTTGTTAAAATACATACCACTTATTTTGTCCTGGGCACTCTTTTAAGCACTTTACATTATCAATTCATTTAATTAACTCCCAGTAACCCATGAGATAGGTACCATATTCCCATTTTACAAATGAGGAATCAGAACACATAGAGGTTAATTAGTACAACTGAGCCCATTGTACTAGCAAGTGGCAGGGATGGGAGTCAGATACAGGAAATCTGGTTCTAGAATCCATTGTGTAGAATCACCTTGATGTATAGCCTAATTTTCCAAGAGAAACATTTTATAACTAATTTAATAGACCAGATTCTAATGAGAGGTGCAATCCTCTTAAAATTAGATATTTTGAGAATCATGGTTTCAAACATAATTACACCACAAAGGTTGGATATGGCCCAACAGTTTTCCACAAAATGCACATGCTTACAATAAGTTACTTATTAATGGTAACCCAAATGATAATTTTATGATTGCTACCTCCAAAAAATATTACCAGTACATGAAATAAAAATTTAAGGCAGTATGAAAAAATTATAAGTGTTTATAACCATAGTGAGAAGCAGCAATAAGAATAGTGTAATGAGTCCTTGGGAAGCGATAGCAATCACTAACCATGACCTATTATCTTTAGGAAAATGAAGGGTTTTTCCCTGAATGATTTCTAGGAAAATCTAGAAAATTTCTGAAAATTCTGTGATCAGTACTTTCAATCTATGTAAACAGTACACTAACCTAAAATAAAAGCTATCACTGTGGTGAGGGTTTAAAAAACATGTTTGTGAACACTTTAGTGGCTCTTAATAAGAACCAGTCAATCAGAAATGCATAAATAAATCCTCTTGGCTCTATACAGGAATAAACGGTCTGCTCTCACAGACATGGTCTAATCAGAAGTTTGTCATATTCAATCTGATTACATTAAAATAGCAGAAAGAAAGGGAAGGAGAGAATGGGGAAAAGAAGAAAAATGGATGAAGAGGGAAAAGAAATGGAGTAAAGAAAGAAAGGGAAAGAGAGATGACTAATGATCAGTGGAACAAAACAACAATCTTCTAAGCATCTGGGAGGGAGAGATTACTAAGCTAGAAGTAGAATGTGTAAGATTTGGGGAGGTGAAATTGGAAAGGGATTCCTGGCAAAGAATTCAGTGTGAGAAAAAGAACAGAAAATAGGGACAAGGAAGACATGTTCACAGAACCAGACCATCGGGTCTGGGATTTGATTTTACCCTTTCAATCAAAAGAGCTGGCCTGTTACTTTTCCAGGGATGCTGGAAGAAGACTTGAGACTCCTGGGTCAGAGAAAAAGGGCTTGACTTCTAGCACAGCCAGGAGCATAATCATCTATAGGTTTGCATTGCGCTCACAGGAGGGCGACACAGAAGGCCTAGATGGATGGCTGCACAGGAGGTGAGCTGCATTCCAGGAGAGGAACATTGAGTTTGGGGAAACGTGTTTTATAACAAGAAGCAAGCAAACATACTCTTCCTATAAGCAGACCTTACCTAATCCTTCACAGTTGCTTACTGGGAGAAAAGCAGTTTCCCTTCAAGTGTAATGGCCCTCTTCTTTTGGCATTTTTGAAAAACCTTTTAAGAACTTAAAAACAAAAAAACAAACAAACAAAAACCCTCAAGCTTATAAAGTTACAAAAACAAAAATAGCACAGGAAACACTGAAATCTTTGCCCATGACATCCTACCCCCCCCCCATTCGTTTTGTCCTCTGCATTTACACTCTCTCTCTATGTAATTTTTTTCCTGAACCATTTGGGGGTTTAGGGTAAGTTACATATATCATGGTCCTTTACCCCTAATACTTCAGTATTTCTATAAGAGAATTCTCTTACATAACAGCAGTGTAGTTATCACCTTCATAATTTTACACTGCTTTAATATCTTGTCTAGTGTGTCCATATTTTAATTTGTTAGTTGATCTATTCATTTCTTTTAGAGCATTTTCCCTCGTGACCTAATCTAGGAACAGGTACAATGAATTTACTTGCCATGTCTTTTTAGTATTCTTTAACCTGGAATATTTCCAATAGTCTTTCCTTGTCTTTTGACATTAACATTTCAAATACAGTCTCCATCCCCCATTTTTAAATAAACAATTTTCTATATAAAAAATCATGCTATGGAGTGTTATATGCAAACAATGAATCATGGAACACAAATCAAAAACTAATGATGTAATGTATGGTGACTAACCAAATAAAATTTAAAAAAAATTTTTTTAAAATCATGCTATGAATACAGTTTTATTTCTTCCTTTCTAACCCATATGCCCTTTCTTTCTTCTTCTTGCCTTATTGCCAGGATCTTTAGTACAATAATGAATTTCATTGATTTCTGCTTTTATCTTTATTATTTCTTCCTTCTGTTTGATTTGGGTTTAATTTGCTCTTCTTTTACTATCTTAAGGTAAAATGTTAGATCACTGACTTGAAGCCTCTTTTCTTTTCTACTGTAAGCACTTAATACTATGGATTTCTCTTGAATCCTTGCCTTTTCTACTGTAAGCATTTAGTGCTATAGATTTTTCTGTAACTCCTGATTTTTTCTCTTCTATAAGCATTTAATGTTAGAGATTTCTAATTCCTGCTTTAGCTGAAACCTGTATATTTCGATTTTTTAAAATTTTTATTCAATTTAAAATGTTTTCTAATTTCCTTTGTGACTTCCTCTTTGATCCATGAACTATTTAAAAGTATAGTGTTTCACTTCTAAATATTTGGGAATTTTCCAGATATTTTTTGTTACTGATTTCTAATTTAATTCCATTAGTCCAGAAAACATTCTTTGTATGATTTCAACTTTTAAGAAAATTGTTAATTTCTTGATCCAGGATATGGTGTATCCTGGTGAACATTCCATGTGTATTTGAAAAGAATGTCAATTAAGCTGTTTTGGGATGGAATATTCATAAATGTTAATAGGGTCAAGTTGTTTAACAATGTTGTGAAGATCTTCTATGTTAAGGTCTTACTAATTTTCTGGGTCTACTTGTTCTACTGATTACTGAGAAGAGTGTTGAAATATCCAACTCTATTTGTGGGTTTGTCTATTTCTCCCTTCTGTTTTCTCAGTGTTTGCCTCATATATTTAGAGGCTCTATTTTCAGCTACATACACAAACTGTATGGTATGTCTTATCGGTGAATTGATCTCCTTATCCTTAGAATGTCCTTATCACTGTTAAATATTCCTGGTTCTGAAGTCTACTTCATCTAATTTCAATATAATTATTCCAGCTTTCTTTTCATTGGTGTTTGCATTGTATATCTTTTCCCATTATTTTAATTTTAATCTTTCCATGCCTTTATATTTAAAGTGACTCTCTTGTAGACACAGATAATTGAGTTTTGCTTTTTTACTAATGTTATAATCTTTCTTTCAATTTGTGGGTTTACATTCAGACCATTTATATTTTATTAATTTCATGTAATCATTGATATGGTTGACTTAAAACCTATTATCTTGTCAGCTCTCTACTTTCTCCATCTGTTGTTTGTTCCTTCTTTGCCTTTTTTTGGATTATTTCTATGATTCCATTTTATATGTACTATTGTCTTATTGTTTATATTTCTATCTTTTTCAGTAATTGTCCTTGGGTTTAAAATATGTATCTTTAGTCATGGTGTACCTTCAAATAATATTACACCACATCACATGTCATCTAAAAGCCTTATGGTAGTATTCCAAATTCTTTCTCCCATCCTTTGTGCTAATGCCATATATTTTAATCTATGCTATAAATTTATAATGCATAGCTACCATTTTTATTTAGACAATTATCTTCTAAAGCAATTTTTTTAAATTACAAAATTTATTTTATATTTACCTTCCCTTGTTCCATTTCCAGCACTCCCCAAGTCTTTGTGTAGTTCCAAATTGTAGTGCAGGTAAGTTGCTAATGAATTCTGTTTTTGTTTGTTTCAATGTGTCCTTTAGTTTTGAATAGTTTGTTTCAATGTATCCTTTAGTTTTGAAAGATATTTTTGTTTCATTTAATTTTTTCAACACTTTAAAAATATCATTCCATGGTGTTCTGGCTTGCATACTTTCTGATGAGAAGCCTGCTGTAATTCTTATCTTTGTTCCTTTGTATCTGACTTGTCTTTTTCTTCTGGCTGCCTTGAACATTTTCTACTTACCTTTCATTTACAGCAGTTTGAATATTATGCATTTCAGTGTATATGTGTGTTTGATTTTCAGAGGGTGGGGGTATTTATCCTACCTAGTGTTCTTTGAGATTCTTGAAGCTGTGGTTTGAGGTCTTTAATTATTCTTTGAAATTGAAAAACAGCCATTAGATCTTGAAATATTTTTTCTGTCCCATGTCTCCATCTCACCCCCACCTCTCCTTTCCTTCTAAGATTCTCCTTTCATGTATCCGATCATTTGAAATTGCCCTACAA